ATGGCGGGGAGCCTTGATATTTCGCCGATTAAGATTCAAAATAAAGATCTAAACGGCTTTCGGGGTTCGTTTCAAGTTCTTTTAGTTTGGTTACTCTTGCCCACCTCATCTGTTTTGCATCGAGTCTCACGTTTCAAAACTGTCAGACTTATCATGCTGTTCGTTTGTTACTCTTTTTGGCTCAATTTAGAAAGTGCTAATCGGTTACGAATAGCGTGCTCGATCCGACTGAAGGGAGTATTATCGAGCAACTATCTGATTGATTCGCACAGATACAAACCATGCGATAATTTCTCAGCTGACTGCGCGGTACACTAATAGTGGAAATAGTTTATTTCGCACAATACCGTTCTAAAAATAGTGATTGATCATAGTGAATCATGGCTCATGCCTTTGAGGCGTATCGCAGCATAGATTTCGCGGATACAATGGACCTAGGAAAGCCATCGGAAACCTCGAATTCCTTGGGAGGACGATACACATCACAACCCTCAGATGACACGTGGCAAAGAAGCTCTCGCAGCTTCAATCCTTTTGGTGGTGGGGCGACGAACAGCGATTGCTTCTCTACGCGACAATTTGTCGAAGTGCCTGTACGATTTATAGGGATCATTTCCTGTTTGTGGCACTTGAACACAGGTGTATATCGAAGGAAAACAACAACTGACTGAGCGGATAAAATAAGAATTTATTGCAGTATTTGAAATAAGAAGAGAACAGGCAGCGTCCGAAAGTGGTTTGCACAGTGCGGATGATTGTCGAACTTTAATCAGAGCCGGAGCAGAATCGGAGTTCTTCAGTTATGATATAAATGTTGCACACAATTGGCGAAGGGTACAATAAATCGAGTCCAAATAGAGTTTAGGAATGGGGCCCTGGGGAAATGGAATATAAAAAGATATGAGAATAGAAGAGCCTGAAGGCGATCCATGATAAATGAACACGAACACAAAGAATTGCCAACGTCATTACAGAGTGATGAAATGATCAAACAGTGACAAAGAAAATACAGTTTTTGTTTTTCTTCTCGTTGTCCGGCTGATTTATCTTATTTTTTACATACCACGTACACCGCCCATCGAACCTTCTGACTCGCAAAAACCCAAACTCTGCCTGTCAAGCGACCTCTATCCGTAAAACTCCATAGGATACCCGTAGAAAGAGGCATGATGAGGTGTGCGCGAATCTAGCTCGGCATTAATTAAAAAATTCACTATCTGAACCCAGA